GGCCTGCGCTGTCCCCGGGGCTGGCAGATCTGCAGTGCTCGCGCCAGGCTGCGAGGCAGCTGCGCCTCTCAGACCGCACAGCAGTACCACAGCTGGCTGCTTCCTAAAACAGCTCTCGAGCATGGGTTAAAGGTTTTCCTCCTGGTCGGTGTTACCCAAATCCCTTCTCTGCGGGTGACCCGTGTCACCCTCCAGGCTCCCGGTACTGTCCATGGGTGATGACCGCTGTGATCTCTGGCAGAGAGCGGTCACCCGTCTACAAGAGGTGGCCTCTTATTTTTAACGTATTTGAAGCTGGTAACTAGTTTCAGTCTAATTTAAAGCAAACAAAACACAGAGTTTTATAACCTAGATGCTGTTTGGTTTCAGCCTTTTTTTAGCCCCTTTCCAGACCGAGCTCTTTGCCCCACCAACGCAGCGCGGAAGGGGGGAAACAGAAGAGCAGGGCTTCGGTCTAGCGAGGCCCGACGCTGCCAGTGCCTCTCGGGCAGGTGCTCACCTTCCTTCCCCAGCAGCTCGTTCATCCGTTGTTTCTACAAAAATCCCTGCCTGAGCTGTGGCTGCCTTAATGGAAACTGTACTGATCTTTTCCTGCCTAGGCTGCGAGTAACGCCCCACTCGAACTTAAATTCACAAATTACAAGTTCACAGCCTGTGGGCAGCAGCCAAGGATGGATCCTGGGCCGGTGCCCAGCCGGCTCGCTTGGGGCTGGGACCCGAGGGGGACACTCGCCCTCCTCTCCGCTGGGACACCCACTGCGGGGTCAGAGCAGGGCACAGTGGGGTCCGAGCTGCCTGTCCCTGCCTTGCTGCGCCTTCTCGGTGTCTTCAGCGGAAAGCGTTAGTCAGAGGGCAGCGAGAGCTCTTGCCTTGCAGAAATTATAGAAATTTTATCACTTTTTTTATTGAAAACTGCACTGAACGCTAAATGTCCACCTTTACAATAAACAAATACAGTAACGGTAACACACTAAAACAAAACATACTTCTGATAGCCATTGGTTTGTTTTTGTCTGTTTGGGACAGCTTAAGATATTTTTTTTTTTTGTCACAGAAACAGGAATGTACCCATACAAAGGCTCAAAATAGGCCATCTTTTTAAAAACAAAAAGGCGATGATTCACAAAAGACTATGAATATAACATGTAACTAGTTGATACAAATCTAATAGGATTTGTTAAAATCAGTCACATCTAATAACACGTTTTTGAAGTGTTCTTGTATAAAATATCACGTGAAGAAAAGAAGACTTTTATCAATGTCTAAAAAAGTGGGTTTTGTTCAGAGACAGTCTGACAAGTTACCATAAAAAGTGTTTCCTGAGACATAAGGAAATGCAACATTATTCTTGAACCCTTTCCAGCTCAAGACTTTTTTCCGCTTGATAAAATAGCTGCAGATTTAAAACTGAGAAAATATATTTGAGTACAAATAGCGTGTGAAACTTAATACTTTCTTCTTTTTTCTTTTTTTTCTTTTTCTTTTTTTTTTTTGTTTTTTTTTGGGGTTTTTTTTTTT